TAAATAAATAGTAAATTAGATAGTATAAAAACCTTATAGACTATAACTTTAAGATTATATACTATAAAGGATTAGAGAATAGTAGGGTAGATACACTTAGCTACTAAGAAGATCTAAAGTTAGAAGAATAAGTGGATAACACACCCTTATTATAAACTAATAAAGATAGGAACCTTATACTAGGCATATAGGAAATTAGTATAACCTAGTAAGTTAAGCTAGATAATACGTAGATACAACATATTGTATCTTACGCTAAAAAAGATAGCTACTTAGATAATTAGGAAATAAATATATAACTAAGAGTGGGAATAACTACTTATTTAATAAACGTTAGTATATTCCTAGTACACTTTAAGAGTAGCTTATTAAGGAAATACACGAACACCCATTATATAGACATTAGGGTGTAGGTATAAGGAAAACGATTAATAGATTAAGAAGATTATATAACTTCCTAGAAAGTAGAAAAACAGTATAGAAAATCATTAAGAAATACAACACCTATAATAAAGCTAAGGTAGTATAACACGCGCCCTATAGAGAACTATAACTAATACTACCACTAGAAAGAGTATAGTAAATAATCACTATAGACTTTATTATTAAATTACTAAAATCTAAAGAATCTATAATAGGAGTATACTATAATAGTATCCTAGTTATTATTAATAAATTAATAAAATATACCTATTATATCCTATATATAGAGTTAAGTAATACGAAGGATCTAGTATACATATTCTTTAAGATAATTATTATATAACATAGGTTACCTATAAAGCTAATAATAGACTAAAATAAACTCTTTATATTAAACTTCTAGAAATGCCTTATAGAAATTATAAAGGTTAAATAAAACCTTTTAATAGCATTCTACCTATAAATAGATAGATAAACTAAAATCTAGAATTAGGTACTTAAATAGTACCTATAAAGTTATATAAACTACTAATAAAATGATTAGGTAGAATAGTTACTACTTATATAATAGGCTATAAATAGCTTAGAAAATGAAAATATAAAAATATCACCTTTTAGGGTAAATTATGGATATAACCCTACGATTAAAACACACGTGACATAGAATATAAACACACTAGTAGCTATAGTGCACACAGTAATAATTATAGAAATATAGAAGCACCTATAAATAGAATGGATATTTTTATAGAATTAAATAAAACACTATACGGATAAAAAGAGATTACTAGTGCTAATCCTAAAGAGAGGAGATAAAGTTTACCTTATCTATAAAAACATTAAAATAAAACGACCTAGTAATAAACTTAACTAGAAGAAAATTAGACTATTCTTTATTAAATAAAAACTATTAGAAGTTAACTATAAACTATTACTACTAGAAGGGATAAAGATACACCCTATATTTTATATATTATTACTAGAGAAAGCACTAAGTGATATAATACTCACTATAAACATTACTATTAAAGACACGAATGAATATAAAGTAGAGAAGATACTTAAAGTATAAGGAACTAAGAAGAATCGTTATTATCTTATTAAGTGGAAAGGATACCTAAACTCTAAGAACACATAGGAACCACTTAAGAACCTATCTAATTATTTAAAACTACTTAACTAGTTTTACTCTAAAGAAAAGTAGTCTAGTTAATCCTATAAGGGCCCTTAAGGGACTCTACCTAAACTTAGCCTTAAAAGAATAAACTAAGGAAGGATCTAACTCCTTAGATAGAGTAGGAAAGGCACTAGTAGCCTTTTAAAGCTATTCTACTTCCTCCTATTCTATACACTCTAACTCCTTAATATTATTAATACTACACATAATAGTGTGTATTATTTTCTTAAACTATAATTTCTTTTATTTTTAAAGACACTTAATCTTAGCGTCTATTGTACGACGTTCCTCCTTAGTTATTTTAAGCTCTTACTTAAAACGTATATAGTGATCGGCTATCTAGTGAAGCTAGGCTAGCGAAATGCCCTATATATTATAGTAGGATTAGTGATCCATTACGCACTAAGCATAGTGAGAAGAATTAGAAGATAACAGTTAGTAAGAAGCGATACCCTTCTTCTAGTAATAAGAATAGGGACCCTTTTCTATAGCCTAAGGATTAGAAAGAATAGAGTATAATAAAGCCTTACACTATTCGGACTTTTAGGAATGTGGTTTTAATCTCTACTTAATAACGTGATTAGTAGACATAATAGGCTATAATGATGTAGGAGGGAAAACTACCTACCACCTAGGCGGCCTACTTTAATAGCCTTAAGGATAAGACTACTAAGGGAGGAGTATTATGTTATAAATACTATAAGACGTGTAGGCGGGGCTGAGTGAGGTAAGGCGAAGGCTTATTACACTAGCTACTAAAAAGGATAGGAGATTATATGATCTCCTTAGGATTAAGGACTTAAGCCATTAAGCTATTAATCTAGGAATAGGATCTAGGGGATTAAAGGTTAAGCCTTCTAATCTAGAGTTATAGTAGAGAGGTGGACGAGTACTTAAGGAGGAGGTATTCCTATAGCTAGGTAGTCTAGATCTCTACTAATTAATTTAAGTAATAGCTCTACTATTAGGAGACATCTCCTAATGTGACTTATACTATAATAACTGCTCGTGTGCACTTTATGCATTTAAACCGACTCTCTACCTAAGAAGCAGACTAACTGTGGATTAGGATTAAGCCACCGTTATAGTAAACTATAGGATTAAGTTACTCCTTTTACTCTATAAGACATCCTATCCTATCTACCACCCTATAGATACGCTATTAATTAGTAGATTAGTAGTTAGGTTAGTAACGACTAGTGAACACCGGCTGTTATATGTTTTTTTTTATTCTTTTTCTCTAGTTGCTTCTAATGGAGACAAGCCATATCTACTAAGTAGGGTGCTGTTCGTTGCAGCTACATACATCAGCAGCCCTGCTGGCTCTCAGCCATGTCGTAGATGTTGCTAGCCTCTCTATCAGCGGATGAGAAGCAGAACCTTCGAAAGTACTGGCAAGTACTGACCCTTTAACGGTTTCAATCTTCTCTTGTCCCTATGCTTCTTCCTTTTTTTAACCAAAAGAAAAGAGGAAATGTCCATTGTTGCGCAGTTCATCTTGACAATTCAAGTCAGTGCATGCATTGACACAACCAGCCAAAAAGTGGTCCCTGTCCAACAACGCGGAACAGACTTCCTCCAGCCCATGGCACGGCTTTGTCCAACCAAACTCCAAGCCTGCAAACAACGCGAAAAACCTCACGCGCCAGCCGTCCTGATCCAGTTTCCCTCATCGTGGGCACTCTCGAAGGACTCCATCAATCCCAGCAGCCCGGCGGCATTCGTCACGCGCGCCCGCGAACCCCCGGAACCAGAGAACGACTGAGCAATTCCACCAGCATGACTTCGGGCGGCGACGGCCCTCCGCTATCCATGCGGCCCTTCCCCGTCGCCGACAAGAGCCCCAAGAATCTCTCCGAGCTCATCGCGCGCGTCAACGCCCTGCCGGGGGGCTTCCGGGCGGTCACGGAGACGAACCTAGAGGAAGAGATTGGCGAGGCGGCTAATGGCGAGGACGGCACGCAAGACGTTGACATGTCGGACGACGCCGACGACGATGAAGACGAAGAGGACGCTGAGGCCAAAGACCCCCAGGCCCTCCGGGCAGAAGTTCTCAGGAACATTGAGTGCGCTCCCGCCACCACCCCTCTAACGACAAGCGGATTGCCCCCGAGTGCTTGCTAACTGTCGTCCTCCCCCAGCGTCGCGAGCAACACGGCAATGCTCACGCTCGACTCGCTCTCGCTGCTCCTATCCAAGCAGAACCCGACACAGGCCGGCCTCACGCTGAGCCAGCAGCTCCGCGACATGGTCGGCATCGGCACCATGGGCGCGGACCGCCTCACCGACGACGACGCTCCCACAGCCCCGGCCGCAAAGACGACCGACCGCGCCGCCGTCGCCCTCGGCTGGACCCTCATGGAGATTGACGCCGCGCGCGACGCCGCCGAGGACGCCACCGCCTTCCTTGCCGCCGAGATGGCCGCCGAGGGTCGGTACTGGGAGGGCGTCATGGCCGTGCGCCAGGCCGGCTGGTCCGTCTGTCGCGTCCCGCGTGAGCCGCCCGGCACCCTCGGCGTGCGCTTCGGCTTCTCTGAAGCGGCGCCCGAGTTCCAGCGCCTCGGACTCGCGCCCCTGCGTCGCGGGGACGAGGACGGCGCGGCCCGCCTCGACATCAGTCGCCTCGGCGGCACGCAGGAGCGCCTGGTCGTCACGTACGAGCGGGGCGGCAAGGTCGTCGGCCGCGCCGCCCCGCGCGAGCTCACCGACGCGTACGGCGACGATGAGGACGAGGAGCAGGACCTCGAGACGCGTGTGCTCGGCGCGCGAAACACAATCTTCGCGCAGGAACTCTGGCACGAGCTCACCCGCGAGGCCCGCTCTCTCGCCGCCTACGACGTGCGCGCCGAGGGCGAGAAGCGTCTCGTGTGCGCGGTGGCGGGCGACGACGACGGCGACGACGCCCGAATCGTCGTCGAGCTGCTCCCCGTCTCTGCATGCCAGTCGCCGGAGGCCCCCGACGAACCCCTCCCGGAAGACGTCACGGCGCAGGCCATCTCCCTCGCGCTGCACATCCTCCTCACCTACGCCCACCGCTGCGGCGAGATGCTGCGCACGCGACCCTTCCCGCCGCACGTCCCCCGCGCGCGCGGCCAGCAGCAGATGGTGCACACGCTGCTGCGCCCCGTCGTCGCGCGGCTCACCTACGCGCGCGCCGCCACCTCCTGCACGCGGCTCGTCGGCTCCCTCGTTCGGACGCTGCGCTCCGCCGGCCTGTCCTCCGCCTCCTTCACCCTGCGCACGCCGCAGCCCACCCTCGCCGCCGAACTGCCCCCCGGAACGCCCGCCGCCGTCGCGCTCGTCCGCGCCATGCTGCAGCCGACCGACTTCGCCCTCGAGGTCGCGCTGCTCCCCGGCGTCGACTTCGCCGTCCGCGGACGGACGTACCTCGTGCCCGTCACCGCCACGTACTACCACGTGCTGGCGCCCGCCGACGCCACGATTCACGCGCTCTGCGCGCCCTACGCGGACGGCTACCCGGATGTTGCGGCGCTGGCGGACTACCTGGGCACGCTGGCGGGGCGCGCGCTCGCGGCGCACCACATGGCGAGGCTCGGCGGCGGCACCGCGGGGCTGGACGGGCCGCCGCGGCAGCTCGACTTCGCCGTCGCGTGCGGCAAGGGCGGAGCGCGGCAGCCGCTGCAGCTGACGGTGAGGAGCGCGCGACCGTCGTCGTCGGGCGGTGCGCGGTCGTGGACGTGGACGCCGGACGCGGAGACGTCCGCGAAGGAGACGCTGGAAGCCGTGGTGGACAACGTCTTGAAGAGATGAAGATGGAGAGGGGAGTTTATCACGATAACATCAATTTCAGCCAGCAGGTTGCAGCAACGGCGTCATCGGGGGGTTATGAATTTTCAACACCAAAAGGAGTTTGTTTGGAAAAATTTTAGGCAAGAAACTTGACAGTCACAATATAGAAGAGGTAGAGATGGAACAATTTCTTGTCTCCTTGATCTTCGCTATTTTCTTTCACCTTTCTTTAACTGCACCATCTATTCATATTCATAATTGTCTAGCTGAAAAAAAAAAGCCAAAAAGGGCAGGACTTTATACCCCTATGCCATCATCCATTCTCATAATCTTTTAAAAAAAAGACATACTAAAAAGTACAAGTCAATCATTACTAATCGTGGACAAAAAGGAAAGCCACAAGTTGCAAATAACGCCGAGGCCAAGCCCTTGATGCATCGCTCTTCCTCCCGCCTATTGTCCAAGCCAGTATAACAAGCAAACAAAACATAAAATCAAACAACAAAATCTGGCTGCGCAGTCGCAGGAAACTAATCATCTCGTCTGTTGAACAAAAATTTGAGCTCGCTGACGCCCAAACGACCAATCTTGGCGCTCTCCGCCTCGTCGAGCGCGGCCTCGACGATGGCCTGCTTGCGCTCCTTGAGGTCCACGATGCGGTCCTCGACCGTGTCCTTGGTCAGGATGCGAAACACCTGTACAGGCTGCGTCTGCCCGATGCGGTAGGCGCGGTCGACCGCCTGCATCTCAATGTACGGGTTCCAGAAGGGGTCCATGATGATGACGCGCCTCGCCTGCGTCAGGTTGAGCCCCGCGTTGCCGGCGCGCAGCGAGACGAGCATCACGGTCACGTCCCGGCGGCTCGCGTCCTGGAAGGCCCTAGCAACCGCGTTGCGCTCGTCGCCGGACATGCCGCCATCATAGCGCTTCGGCTTGTTCTTGAAGCCCGCGTGGTCCATGCCGACTTCGATGAGATCTAGTAACAGCGTCCACTGCGAGAAGACAATCGACTTGCCCCCGTCCTTTTCGGCCTCACGGAGTAGCCGAATGCATTCGGAGACCTTGGCAGCGGGGAGCCAATTCTGTCGGAGATAATTCATGTATCTGCGGTAGGCCTCGCGACTCTTGCGAGCTTCAATGCGCAGCTCCTTGAGCATCGACGGCCGGATATCCGTCTTGATGATCTTTTCCTTTTCGCTCTTCTTCTTCTTCCCCTTCGACTTGGTCTTCTTCGGTTTCCGGGACTGGGTGCCTTGCACACGTTTACCTTGCTTTATCAGGACTTTGCGTAGCTTCTCCTTTTCGTCCTCGTCCTCTTCGGGTTTGACTCTGGAACCAGGAGACGAGCCAGAGGACGAGCTTTCGCCCTTGACTTCGGCTTTGATGCTGTCGATGGCAACGGGCGTGGCGTCAGTGTCATCGTCAGAGTCGTTGAAGACGCTGTCGTCCACGACGAAACCAGCCAAATTCCCTTTGACATCCACCCTATCGTCACTGTACAAGTCATCCTCTTCGGCATCGGCCTCCCCGATGACTTCTTCATCAGATTCATCCTCTGATTCGTCGTCTGATTCATCTTCCTTCTTGAACGCCTCAGGCTGGTGAACCTTTCGGAAGGCCTCCAGGGTAAAGCATTCCTTCGGGTTGAACTGCCCCCTGCAGACTGGGCACTTGCACTTGTCGCTCTCGTGACCTTCCTGAATGTTCGCCGAGGCTGCATTATCGGCGATGCGACTTAGACACTGACTGCAGCTATCATGGCCACAGGGGATGAAGAACTGAGGCGACGGAACGGCATCATAGCATATAGGACACTCAAATCCGTTCGCGGTCCTGATTCTCGCAACGATGCTCGGTTTCAGCTTTTTGACAAGCTCGAGGACCTCCGCTTCCGTCACCGGAGTAGTGTCAGTGACATCTAGATTGAGATGCGGGTGGCAGCAAGCTTGGCGAAGTCGCAAGAGAAGTACCAAAATGTTGGAATAATTTCGTCCGATGCTGCCTTCACGGAGGTACTTGCTGAACTGAACCTGAGCCTTGACTTCCAATTGATTGTAAAAGTCACGCTCATCCTCCGAAAGCTCTGCGTAAACAACACTCTCGGTCTTTTTTGGCAGCTCGACGATGGGCTTGCCATCCAACATTGTGTTCTTCTTTCGCCTAAGCATAATCGCCTTGAGGAGGGCACGCAGCTTGCTCATGGCAACACTCTTCTCATCTCCTCTCTTGCCAAACAAGACGCCAAATTGCTGGCGGAAGTTATCCCAAGCGCAGTATGGCCGAATATGCAAAAATGCGAGCAGCGAATAGAGTTCCAGCACTCCATTCATCATCGGCGTGCCGGTGAGGCACCAGCGGAAATTGGCGCGCAGGCGGTGGCAGGCCTTGGCAGTCTGCGTATCCTTATTCTTGATGCACTGGGCTTCGTCAAGAATTACACGGTGATACTTCGCCTTGGTAGGGTGAAGTAGGGGAAACTTGACCGCAGATTCGCTCTGTGTAAAGTCGGCACTTCTCCCAGCGTCGATATTCTCCTTCACGTAGAGGTCCAGCCGTTTCACCTCTGCGGCAATGGTGCCATACGTGGTCAGCACCACATCGTATGAGAGAAGCTCATCAGTCGTAGCCTTCTTGTTGTGATACACAAACACGGACAACCTATGTGAGCTTGAGACTTTGCTGTTGATTTCCTCCTCCCATTGGCGAATCAGTGCAAGGGGGCCGATTATGAGGTTGGTTTTCGGTCGTGTTGTCGAACGCTTTGTCAACATCAATGCGAGCGCAGAGACCGTCTTCCCCAGGCCCATGTCGTCTGCCAGGATGCCGCCCTTATTTGAGCCGTCTTCCATGTTCTGCATCCACTTGAGGGCGGCTTGCTGGTGGCGGTAGATTTTCACCTTAAGGCCTTCAACCGTCTCTTCGCGTTCTCCAAGCGGAATGTCTTCATCGGGACGAATGTTTGCGAGCAAATCTTCTAGCTCTTTGTCGCTTATCTTGTCCTGATCCTCGGACATGTCTAGAAAGTATCTCATGCGATCGGGCATATGAGGATGATAGCCGGACCTGGCTGCTGAGGCGGTCGCGGCGGCAGTATATGAGAAGGCGCTGGTGCGGTTGATGATGTCGTTCATTGAGGTAGAAGGAAGGGTCGGCCAAGTCGTAGAGCCAAGAACCTTGGTTGGTGGTTGGGAGGGAGATAGGCCGAATGGGCCAGGTCCCGGGCTATACTGGGGGACTGGAAAGGCACCAGGCAAGCCAGGAGGATATGGTTGTAGCGGATTGCCATGAGACAGGTTCCGGCCTGGTTCCAGTTGTTGTTGCTTTATTGTCTGCATTCTATCCATGCTCTGCATTCCGTGTTGTTGGGCCAACCTTATGCGGCGAATGAGCTCAAGCCTCTGCGCTTCGCTTCCACCAGGCCAGACAGGAGGCTGAGTCAAGCTCGGAGAGCCTGCGTGCTCGGGTTTCACTGGGTTCATGTCCGCATCCTGGAAGCCTGCTTTGGGGGCTCCGCTGGTTCTGGCATTCTGCATAAGACGCTGAAATGGATCGAAGGTCGGAGCTGGAAGGCCGTTGGGACGTTGTGGTCCACGTTGCTGCTGCAGGCTTTGAGCCAGTTGGTGGTCACGCCGTCTCTGGGCGGCCAGCTTCTCCTGCCGCATCTGAGCGGCAATGCTGCCCGAGGTATCGGCGAGGTCGTCGCTAGGTCATGTTAGCCAGGTAGATTCCAGTAAACGGTCCATTGAAAGGGGAGGGTGGTTATCGTACCCTGTGAGGTCAATGACCTCCAAGTCGTCAGAGTCGAGGGGCCTGTCGGTCGAGCCCCCAAGTCCTTTTCCGGTAGCACTTGACGCTGGAGTCGTCTTTTGTGATTTGGAGTACGGACTGGCATTGGTAGGACTTCCGGGGGGGCGCTTCCTGGTGGGAAGGCTGATGGGCGTCGTGGGCGGACCTGGGAGGCCTTGAGCTGTTCCCGCTTCTCTGGCTATGTCGGATCACTGTCAGTATCCGAAAGGCCTTCAATTGTTTTCTCGCGACCTACCTGGGTGAGCGTCTAGATGTACCGCGACGGAGCGAGGCGGGTTGCTACATTGGAGCGAGCGCAGCCTGTCGAAGAGGATCCCCAGTGACTGTGTAGCGTCGAGGCGCGCCCTCAAAGAGGCGGCATCTTCCGCGTTCTCGAGCGAGTTGAGGATGGCTTTCTGGAAGCCAATCTCCTCCCTCACCCTCGCTAGTTCTTGTTGTTTCGTGCCGGCCATGCTATCGCGCGGCGCATGTCTAAACGTATCGTGGAGGGGGAACGGGTTGGCTGGGCGTGAAGCGAGCGGAGAAAACAGGTCGGTATTGCGAGTAGGGGGCGGTTTGGTGTGTGGTGGAAGATGGACGGTTCGGGAGAAGGGTCTGGCGGTCAGTTAAAGATCAATTATTTGTGGGAGGCAAGCTTTTTCCTGGGCGCACACAATGGGTGATGCAGCGACGGGCGCTCCCAACATTCACTTCAATGATGATACGAGGCGCGTCTGTCTGTGGCGAACTCAATTAAATTTTAGTGGAGACTTTGCGTCCGGGTGCCTAGATCTGCCGCCAAGTTGGCCGGGAGGGGCTTGTCTAAGTAAGTTCAAGGGTACGACTAACACGGGCAAAGGATATTTTTTTGTTTTTTATCTTTCTTATCATCTTTTAAATGTTTCCTGATTTCTATATCTTCTCTTTTTACCATAATCATTTCATTATTATCCGCGACATTAGCTAGCTAGCTCCGGTTCTCCACCCCATGTTGTCAGACATCTTCCTCTCTCAGCCGCACTGCATTCACACAGGACGCATGTTGGAGTGCTGTTTTATTCCTAACCCCCCTCCAACGCAAAGACCTTGTGCTACTGCCGAAGCAGGCCTCGATGCAAGTCGGAGCAGTGATACGTGGCTTTCTTACGCAATCAACCACTGCCATGCACCACCTCTCACAGCCTCATTTCGCATAGCAAGCAAGTCACACGAGGGCGACACGCCTAAGCTCCGCAGCCTCACCACGCAGGCACGCACCCGTTTCCGTTTCCGCCCTTCAAACTCAGCTTGTGACTCTGTGTCTCTTCACCTCTTGCTCAGCTCTTAGTTAGGCTGTTGTCACCTGCACAGAACCCCGCGTCATTGTCGCTTGAAAAGGAGAAATTGTTGTTCCGCTCAGCTCAGGCAGTGTATAAACATGAAAAAGCAACGCTATCTCTAAAAGATGCAATCCAAAAACAAAGAAAGAGTAAGACGAGCCCCTCATCTAACAAAACAAACTTCGTTTCCAAAAAAGACAGTTTTCCACCCATGACCCCACCTCCAACTTGCTACGAGCCACCGACAATGTCGTTCCAGACCTTGCCAGCCTGTCCAGTGATCCAGTCCCATGCATCGCCAACGACGCCCACGATCGAGCCCAGCAGACCCTCGTCTTGGCCCCCGTCTGCTTCTTCCCCGCCGCCGGTATCGTTATCGCCGCCCTTGTCTGGCTGCGCCGTCGCCTCGGGCTGTGCCGTTGTCTCCGACTCCGTCGTCGTCACTGTCGCCGGCACTGCCTCTGTCTCGATACTGCTGGCCACGCTCGTCGACTGCGTGCTTGCGGGCGCCGTCGACGTCGTCGCTTCTGTGACCGCCTCCGCGGGCGGCGGGTCCTGTTCTTCCGCCACCTCGTCTGTGTGCGTGCCGATGGGTCGCAGCGGCAGCCTCAACGTGCCGTTGTTTGGCTGAGGTGTGATGCCGACCGAGTCGCACAGCAGATTGTACAGCTCAATATTTTCTAACAAGGTCGTCACATTAGCCTCACTACAGTTTTGTGATCCGCGGGGTTTAGCATTGGTGACTCACGGAAAGGCTCCATCATGCTGTTTGCTGGATGGGGGAACGCTGGTCCCCGCGCAATGAAAATTGCCCTCATCAGCGGGTGCTCGTGGTCGTAGCCGTGCAGGCCACGCGGGTGGTAGACCTCGTCATCAGCGACCGTCGCGAGGTCAAAATCGTCCTTCCTAACAATGGCCCAGCCCGTCTTGGGGACGATCCAAAGTGGCGCGATGCGGTCATTCTTGGAAAAATGGTAGCGCTCAGGCATGTCGACGTCTCGCATGTACACCTCGATGCCAGGGTTTGTCTTTGCCTTGTCCTTCAGCCCATCGTACAGTGACTGCGTGTCGTCTATGTCCTTAGGTCGCAGGCCCATCAGCGGCCAACCGTCTACGTGTTCAATTTTGCTGGTGTCGACCAGGTCCTCGAGCTGCAGCAGCCGTGTCCGATCCGTCGTGGCCATGCCGTGGTCCGATACAACCACGACATTGACAATCTGCGAGAGGTTGCGCGCCTCCAGGCCCTGGAATATCTTGTCCATCATCGTATCTACAGCTTGAATCGTGGTGCGAATCTCCGTGCTGTTCGGGCCGTATTTGTGTCCGTCGGCATCGACGTCCGGCACGTAGGCGGCAATAAGCTGAGGACGCCAGTGCTCCGGATCGACAGTCTCGTCTTCCTTGCCCGGCATGTCCAGAAAATCCATGATTCGTGCAACCTTGTTGTCGAGTTTTTCATCGCCATTGTACTTGTCTATAACGCTAGGCTCAATGTTGAGAATATGCGCTTCGCTTCCAGGCCACATGTGAACAGCGCTGCGTACGCCCTGCTTCTCTGCTGTAGCCCAGAACGGCTCGCCTCCCCACCACTTGGGATCCAGGCTGCGGTCGGGGTCGGTATAGTAAAATTCGGCCTTGAGCTCCGGGTCCCAAAATGTGTTTCCTACCACGCCGTGTGCTTCGGGGTAGAGGCCGGTCGCTAGCGTGTAGTGGTTCGGGAACGTCACTGACGGGAACGACGGGAGCATGTATTTCGGCGAAATACCTTCCTTGACAAAGGCATTCAGGCGTGGCGTCAGTCCGCGGCTCAAAAAGTCGGCGCGGAAACCGTCCAAGCTGATGACCAGTGTCGTCGGTCCGAACAGCGCCGTACCGTTGCTTATAAATCGATCCTTGATGGCAGCGCCGCCGTGCTTTTTCGCCTTGGTCAGCTTCCACGCGACAAGCACGAGGATGGTGAAGCCGATCAGGATCAGCGCGTGGATCAGCAGCCAGCGCCTCCAGCTGCGTCGCCGCTGAACATGCTCCTGCGCCATCAGCCCCAGGTGTCTTCTATCCCTCTCGTCGCTGTCGTCTCGGTCGCTGCTATTGCCGGTGCTGCTGCCGTCCTTCATGCCCCCCTCCTCCATCTCGTACATGAGCTCGCCGTCCTCGCCGTGCTCGGCGCGCTCCATCAGGGCCTGCCGCTTACGCTGGCGCCGGGAGCGGCGCTGGCGGCGCTTCTCGGCGCGCAGGTCTTCGGTGGAGCTGGCGGCCGAGGACACGGACATGGCGGACAGACTGGGTCGACGGAAGAGCTTGAGGGGGTTGGGCACGGCGAGGCCGGACCCGCGGCGCTCTCGCTCCTGTTTCCGCCGCGAGTCGGTGACGAGGCGGTCGATGTCCTCCTCCTCGACCAGGACGATGCGGTCGTGGGCGCGCAGCTCGCGACTGTTGCGGGCCGCCTGCTGCAGCTGATCGTCGTCGCTGTCCGAGTCTTGGTCGCTACGGGAGTGCAGGGACGCGGCGTCGTCGTCGTACGCCACCGGCGACAGCAGCGAGCCCTCGCGCTGCCGCATCGGCGTGTCTGTGTTTAACCGGTTCGCGGGCATGGTGAGTGGTTTATGATTTGAAGGAGCTTAAAAGCTCATGATGGAGAGATGATGATCATATGAAATCGGGGTTGGACAGTCGTTAATGATGAAGAGAGCCGGCGCTTCCATTCGGGCCCCTTGCTGACGCCAGTCTAACAAGGTGGGTCGCGTAATCTTTCCCAATCTGTCCACATGAATTGTCTAAGACGCAGCACTTGCAGTCGCACTTGGATTTTACTTGAACTTTATTAGGTGACATTCATTCAGCTCTTTATTATTTAACACAACCGTCCTAGCCCTGTAGTGCTTCTAAATTATACGCGTGCTACGCCATTCATTGCAAAGCTCGGGGACCTCCAAGCATCTAGTCACCGAGTTGGCTTGAAACAAGTATACGAATCAGTGCACTTTTAAGTTGTCGCAGGAACGTGTCTACATGGTTAGGTAGTAAGTTATGTGACTACCCGAAACCCTCTGAAATTGATAGCCCGCTCGCCGTGTGTACATGTTTAAGTTGCTAATGGAAGGTTGGCTCAGGCCGCCACAGAATTGAGATTATTTATCTTGTTTAAAAGCCCTCCGTAGAAAAATCCTATCCTACAGATTTTACACGAAGAGAGTGAATGCCCCTCCCAAAATTTAGCAAACACACACGCTCGAAACGCACGAACGGAAAACCAACAAGCATCCCAGACACCTCCAACCACAATGGAGGATATAGGACACTACCTCCGACTGGCCCTCGGTGGCATAGCTGTCCTCATTCTTCCTCTTATCTAGCTAGAGACTCTCTGCCTCCACCTCCTCAGTATCAACGACGCGACCACCTTTCGCGTGTTCTTTGTCCAAGACGCACACCCAGGTTCCCCTGCCATCTTCTCGAACGGACTCGCCTTCATCCACATCCTCCTGATCCCGTACCTTGTCTCGTTCGAGGCTCAACGCACCAGGCCCGGTGACTCGTTTGACTCTATCCAACGTGCTGCGGCTTTCGGTTGCCGAGATAGCGCGAGCTGAGGGGGATAATAACCGGCTCTGGGAATCTTCCGGCTCGCTAGAGAACATAAACCACCGATACTCGCGCTCTGAGGAGCCAGCGAGTTCGATATTGACTTGCACGATCTCTGGTTCACCTACTACCATGCCGCCAAGAACACTGCCGACAAGAATCCTATTCTGGACCGGCTCGTTATCCAGATCATTCAGGCTAGAGAGTTGGGTGCACTGCGCAGGCCTTCTCCCGCGGACGCCAGCGTCACGATCGAGGCGACAACTTCTGACGGGGTCATTTGGACCGATCTGCCGTTCTTGGTCCCAGATGACCGCGTTTTGGCACCAGGACTGGCCGACGATGGGCGCAAGAATCTTCTCAGCTTTACCACTTTCTTAGCAAAACGAGCGTCCGTCGGTGTTTGCCAGGACAGGCTGAGCGGCATAGGCCTCGCTCTCCTATGCGATGCGCTGGAGACCCCGCGCCTGCTTGGCGCGTCAGGAGAGGAGGAGCATGGTGAAGAACCGGCCAGGCTCCCGCAGGACGTCACCTTCGCCACGCTCCTGCCGGCCGTCAACGCTTGGCTGTCCCATGCCGGGCACAAGATCGTCCAGCTAGCCGACGCCCGGTGGGAGAGCGACGCCTGCAGCCTCGGCGAGCTCTTCCGCGGCGACCCGTTGTGTGGCAGCGCCACGCCGGCCGGCTTCAGCCCTGAGAGGTGGCTTTTCTGGCTAAAGAGACTGGAGCAGATTGCCGAGGCGGCGGAGGGTGCGGGAGGTAAGCGTCTTGGCGGGACAGTCCGGAGATCAATGGATAACATGCTCTTGGTCGCGGATGAGAGGCATTCGGCGGTCAAGCAACTACTGCACTACTCGCCTGGTGTGATTCGGCATGAACCCATGGTGCAGGTTTTTGGCCCGAGTTAGACCTCTATGTGCGGGAAGATAAGTAGAACAAGGCAGATGACAACGACAAGCAGGATATAGAAAACAAAAACAACAAGGTAGACAACAACGACATGAAGGGCATATTAAATACGAAAAACAAGGCAGACGAAAACAACCGTATTGCGACCCAACTAAGCGCTCTCTTCCCGACCTTCGTCCGGATCCAACCTCGCAGACCTTGACTGTCTTCAGATTGTGCGGTGGCCTTCAATTGGGGGAGTCGAACACAATTTTCCAGAACATCCCCAGCTCGCTAATGGAGCAAAGTTTTGCCTCCAAAGCATCTTTCACAAGATCTGCTTTACCGAATAAAAAATACATAGAAATAGTAAACTCGACAAGAGCAAAGTTCACGTAGTGTAGCAAGAGTAATAGTCGTCGGCGTCATCGCAGTAGCAAGAGTAAATGTTATCATCATCCCCCCCGACCCCCTCGGGCGGTGGCGGCGCCCTCGCAGCACGCCCGCCTCGTCCCCCCCGCGCCGCGAGGCCGTCTAGTCCTCGTGGAGCGTGGCGTACGGCAGCGCCCAGCCCGCGGCGGCCAGCGACGACAGCATGGCGCATGGCCGCCAGCGCCGCAGCCCGCGAGCCGTCCTCGTACCCCTCGCCCGGGTAGGGCAGGGCCGGCTGGGGCCGCGCCGCCGCGCACGCCACGGCGGCCGTATACGCCGCGCGGTCTCGCAGCATCTGCCCGCTCGGCGAGTCGTCGGCAGATTCGCAGCAGGACAGCAGTGGCGGGAAGCGCGCGGCCTGCGCGACGGGCACCATCTCGGCGGAGCCCCAGTCGACGATGCTGGCAAGGTATTTTGCGTTAGTCGGGAAAGGAGCAGAAGGGGTTTGATGTGGGCTTACGCCTCAATGTTGAAGTGGCTGCCGCTGATGATGCTTTCTGCGCGTAGATCGCCGTGCTCCATGGCGAACTGCCTATTGTCCTTTTCGTCGCCCAGGACTTCGGGCAGAAGGGCCAATTGGTCGAGCACGTCCTGTTCCACTAATTCCGGTAGGTTTCCCTGGCGGATGCTCTCGAGACGGCATTCAATCTTTTGCTTGAAGAATTCGTACGCCGTCATCTCTCCTGTTATCAACGGCCATCAGTTGCTGATCAACGGCCATCAGTTCCATGTCTTTCCAGGCCGCCCTGTCAGCCTTTCCCGCGCATCCCCCTTCAACTCCCCATCAAACAAACACAAAGACCGGGGCAAGACCGACGTACTAGTCTCCAACGTGCGCTGGATGAGCTGGAGCTGGATACCCGCGAGCCGCGCCAGCAGTGCGCTCCGGGCGGGCTCGCCGGGGCTCTCGTCGCTCCACCGTAGGCGGTTCTCGCCCGCGAAGTCGAGGACCATGTACGGGTAGCCGATCGGGTTGTCGAAGCCGAGGCTCGCACCGAACAGCCGCATGGACCAGTGAAAGTCGACCGCGCCGAGGCGCTCGTACGCGCGGCGCTCGCCCTCGAGGCGCGCGCAGATGGCGCGCTCGTCCTCGCCGCCGGGCACGCGGTGGCCGCGCGGGTGCTCCACGCGCAGGCACACGCTCGGCCGGTCCGAGAAGCTCACCCGGAACACATGGTACTCGTCGTTGCCGTACTCGCCCTCGAACGTGGCATTGCAGCCCTCGCCGTCGAGGAAGAACTGCACGGCGTCGATGACGGCATCGGCGCTGAGGTTCTGCTCGCGCAGCCAGGCCATGTCCTTTTTTGTTTTGTTTTTTGCCTTTGCACAGCCAAAAAGTCCAAGAAGGAAGAAAGAAAGAAAGAAATATTGAAGGATGAACAAAAGGGGGAAAGAAATAAAGGAGAAAAGAGAGAGGGGGGAAGGGAGCTTTGCGTTGTTGGGCAATCCGTCGACAAACGGGCCTGTGTAACGCGAACGGTTTGGATAAGCTGTCTTGTCTTTGTGCCAAACCAACCGCTGTTGGATCGACGTCTGTTGTGCAACCCAACCTGGGCGGTGCTGCCAAATCAGGCAACGCTGTGGCTTGACACTTTCGGCCTGAACCCTGTAACTGCGTTGCCTGCGGCTCTCGTGACGATTGATTTATATGAACGAGGCAAAAAAAAAAAAAAGAAACGGTATATCAGCCGCGACTGCGGTGAAAAGTGAATAGATGGATTGTTTGCAATGCAATGGCAAATGGAAAAACTGCAGACAGGTAGCACCACCGCAGCAATCATGTTGATAACCTTGCCTGTTAGCATATAAAGAGTGACCTGTATGTGTACGCGCAACCTGCTCACATGTACATACATGTTTCCCCTCATCCAGCCAGTCTACCTCGTCTACACCATCATCGCGGCCACCGCATCAACTTTGTTATGAGACCCCTCTTCTTCATTTTGCGCCCTCGTATTCGTCCGAATCAGCGTGCCTGCTCAACCACGCCCAAACTCAGCCCCAGCGCTTCGCCTGCGCCGGCTCGCATCCCCGGCAATAACCCAAACAAATCATAAAAGAAACCGCGGCACCATGCCACAGGGTTCTTGAGCTGTCGCCATGCCGTGGTGCCGTCGTCAAGCAGTCGAGGATTTCAGGTTTGCCATGCAAACCCTATTACAAGACAAGCAAGGAGGGGTCAAAAATATGGTGGAGGCTGAGTTGGGGAGGAATCAATTCCGCCCGGTGAGGTGGTGTGGGGCCCCGGAACGCGGGCCGGTGGGACGACAAGGCGGGGTTAACTCCATACTGCCCCGGAAAGTCGGGCAGAGGCATTCCTCCTCTTCGGACATATTGCAGTGCAAGGCAAAAGCAGCAATTATATCACAATAATCATGAGGACATCTTCGAGCATCTTTGTAGCATCTATTTAGTAGTGCGTGAAACAGCAGCTGCGGCACTTTCACAGGGGGTTAGTGAATGATAGCCCGAAATATTGTCATGTATGTCTTCATCTATTCGTATATAGTGATGGTTTAAACACAAAGGTACTAATCCCTACCAGAAGGGAAGAAATCCCCGCTATTGTACGCCCCCGTCAAACCAAATTCATGCCATTATGAAGCACCTTATACATATCAGTATGTCAGTTGACCCCGTGTTTTACTATAAGGATGAATATCAACAGGCAGTTCAACGCCAAAGCGCCCAATCCCCGGAAAATAACGCCGAAATGAGACAGAGAGTAAAGCATTAATTATCAGGTTAGATTTCCAGTCCATTACCTGTTGTGTTCTGGACCGACCGGCTCAATGCGATCGGTTTCATCCGTCGTGAGAGCCTGGCCCACCAGTCCTGATCCTGGCCGCGCCACCGAGTTTCGCGGCCATCCTATAGGCATGTTGGACATTCGGCGGGCGCCGTTGCCACTATCGCTGCGCACGCGATTGACCAGGACAGGCATGTCCTCAATAGCCCTGTCGCTGATGGCTCTGTCGCTTATGCGTGAGCTGCGTGAGCTCACGTACCCCGTCGTAGTCTGGGCAGCTTTTTCGTCTATCGGAGTGCTTCGTCGACGATCTGCTGCTGTTGCGCTCACGAACACGCCTCCAGCTCCCAGGGCCGCCCCTGTTTCCCCGGCTGCGCCGCCAGCCATCGTGGACTTAAAATTAGCAAGAGACCCCTTAACCTGGGCCATCATTTTCTGGTCCGAGGTCTCGTCAAAGAGAAGCCAGGCAACGGCGCCAGCAAGCCCAGTCAGTATGGCAAGTGTGAGGAATGCGGCAGCAGCCTTCATTCCAGCAGTGGGGGGCGCAAAAATGGGAATTGGGTCCTTTCTGCCAATATCGCCGGCGCCTGCATTGACATTACCCTTGCTGGTGCCTCCCGTATTGGCTGTCAGCGGGGCCCCGCGGCTCTTGATGGTGGTAGAAAGAAGAACCTCCAGTGCGGCCATTTGTTGACCGACACCGGTAGTTCCGTCATATTTGCCCTCGTTCCTCGCCCATTTCAGCCCGCACATTCTGCCGTTGCTACCTCCAACGCACTGGTTGATAGCAGCCTTGGCAGATGCCGTCAGGTAGGGAATCACAGTTTCGTACGTGTCGGGGGCCCATTTAGTGGCAGCTGCGAGCCATCGGGACAAATAAGCCTTGAAAGACTGTTGGTCAATATTGCAGCGGTCGACAGGCTCACAGGCGACCTCGGACATGATGTCGTTGTTGTCGCCGACGAAAAATACTTCGGAGCCTGTAATAAGACCGTCGAGGCGATCCTTCCAAGCTTGGGACTCGGTATGGTTGTACATGGCGGCTGCTCCGAGAATAAAGCCACCAGCATTGTAACTAAACTGGTAGGGACTGAAGGAGGTACAGTTGCTACCAATGGCGGCACCGTCGATGACGTAGTAGGTTTCATTGTTGATAAATCCAGTCGACCACATCCAATCCCAGGTCTTTTCAGCCCAATCTGCGTAGGTTTGGTTTCCTGTGTAGAGCGCAAGCCGAGCACCGAGTGCAAAGAAGCAGGCTTGAGAAATGGAGTTCTTGGGAGTGTCAGCAGCAGATACAAAACGTTCGTCGTCATTAAAAAAACCCCACCTTATAATCGTAGCCTTTGTTCCATTGGTAGATTTGCCAACGCAGGCCGCCGTTACAGTTTTGCGTATCCCATCGGGCGGCCTGGGTGTTAAAGACGGCCTGGGCGAGCTCCAGCCACTGGGGCTGGTCGTCTGGGGGGTTCGGAAAGTTGTACTCGGCAGCAGACATGACAGCAAGGCCCCAAAAGCCTTGATCGTCGTTACCCTCAGTCAAGGTTTGGTTGTTTGGCATGTAGTCTCTGTTAGTGCCGACCTGGAAGAGCAAGCCATCAGAGACTAGCTGGTTGTACTCGTCGTCTCCGGTGTAGTACCAGTAGTCAATGAGGGCGCCGAACATGGCACCGGCTTCCCACCCTGTTCTAAGTGGTCAATAATAAATATGCCATTTGACCAAGATTGGAAGCAACGAACAATAGTATGGTGACGGCAGCAGACCAGGAATGCCACCAGGTTTATTGCCAGAGTAGAAGGAAAGCATGTCGTCGGCGAGGCCCTTGGCGGTATCCTTAATGGATTCTGTATCAATTTTGGTTTAGTGGTGGGCAGAGATAGATTGGGAAGACTTCATGTTAGGTTAGGACGCACGTTGCGATGTCAGGTCCAAGCTGTAACCAGCGGCCTGAACCAGGCGGCCAGCGACGAGCAGCGAAGCCGTGAGGCTGCGACCAAGCCGTGATCCTCCACGTATTGAGGCCAGCATTTTGATTTTAGGTATGTTGTTTGGAGAAATTTTGCGCATGTATCTTCGAAGAGATTTCGGACCTAAAATCTGGGCCGCGAATTCGGACCCATGGGTGGAAGAGTGCGGCGTGCACCAGGCGAGTCAATGATGGAGGGCCGAAAGTCTGTTAAGCGGGTGCGTGGTTCGGGGTGGTGTGGTGTAAATGTTGTTGGGATCGGTAGTGGCCTGACGCTGAGGGGGCGTTAGACAGGAGTTGAGAGGGGAACTGTCGGAGACTTGAAGGATGTTGTAGAGAAGGAAGAAACATGGGACTATCAGGAGAGAAGAGGGGAAAGATGGGAAAGATGGGAAAGAAGCAAAAGCAATGTCAAAATACGGACAGAGAGTTAAAGTTCGTGTTTGGGTGTCAGTGCCTGACCTGATCAACAGGTGGCAGCCAGCAGGCTGGCCAGCTGGCAGGCAACTCAATGCAGGGTGCAGGAGGTCGGCGCCTGGTTAAAGGTGGGTGGAGACGACGCCAGCAGTGAAAGCGGAAAGGCGCTGGAGTCTTTATTCGTTATTAGCATGGTTGCCCAGCCTATGGTTGGCGACTAGCACTCTGACAGCCCCGAGACGACAACATACGAGAGGCCAAGAACTGCGCCAAACGATGCAAGGATGGGCTGGTCGATCCGGGGACCCGAGTGCATGACAAGTCTATGGGTAGATGTAGCAGGGGCTGGGAGGTTGGTTAGCGGGAATAATATCCATCATCAGTCGTGTCTGTGACGAGTAGAAGACAGGCCACACCATAGGTAGGCTGCAGGACAGACCAAAACTAAGGTTGAATCTGTACGTATAAACAAGGTAATGTAATGGAAATGCTCCCCAAATGAATTCACATAAGCAACGCCATGTTTGACTATAACCAGCATGCAATTGCCCAAGGCGGCCACACAGCTGGAAAAGAATACAGGCGCAAGGGCGCTACGAAAAGCCACCCAGCCACCAAGCGCGCCCGCTAAACAAAGTCGGTAACCCACTGGGGATTCAAGAAATACGAGCTGACACACAATACCTTAGTCGGTGCCCCGTACCTCCCAAACCCCAACCACACACCACACAACAGGCAAGAGATGGAACGACTCAAGGGGCTGCGTCACGGTGGGTTTATACGAGCCTCTCGCTTCGTACGCAGAAATCATTCTGTATCAAACAATGCTGGTGACCATTCATGCGCAATCCGCGAACCCATCTCGCGGCTCAAGGTCTTGGTTCAGAAATTGCGGTGCCGGCATTGCCTGATCCCTGCGAGCGGCAAGAGCCTGCAGCAGCGCAAAGCAATCATGAGCAGCAAAGAAGGCCGTGCTGTACAAACTTGTTCAGCCTTGATCTTGTTTCGTCTCGAATTCACCCTTTCAGCCGTATTAGCCTTTTTCCCCATCAAAGCTCACGCACTGGCTCGAGTTTGACTTGAGCTCACCTCCGTACAGCCGAAACAGATCCAAAATGCTCGTGCACGCCTTTCCCCTCACCAGTGCCGCGCGACGCCCGTTTGCCATGGCTTGCAGTACTTCCCCGATACTACATTTCACCTTGGCTTACGGGCCAAGCGACAGCTGCAGTCCTCCTACTGTAGGTGATAATTCTGTGCTTTTCTTCCCCTCCATCGATGCTTCCATGCGCGATCGAGAATCACGACACCATCTGCATATGGAGTACCAGACATGTTCACGCTCAGGGCTCCGGCCCTGTTTCAACAACATTGGTGACAAACGAGCGGGTTATATTCCTTGTCTAGATACGTTACCCATTCGCCCACCTATAAGCGCCATCGCATCGTGCCACAGGCCGGCTTGGCGATGGTGGCAACAGGCACGTCCTACCCTGTAGAACAATCACAACTACGCCAAGTGACCTTCCGCGCCTTCATCACGTTGAATGTCGGCGGAAAACAATGGAGATTTATTCCTGGGGTATCTTGGGTTGTTGGCTCAAATGCGCAAAACTCTGTGTTTATTGCATGTGCCATACTCCGCTAACGCTCTGCTGAAGTGGCACGGCACAGTGGCCCTGCCAACCTCGTCAGCTTGCATCCGGACCGCAATTATCAAACTGCAGCCGAGAACGGCCTTGGCACTTAGCCAACTCCAATATGCCCAAAATATAACCTGCAGAGAGCGCTGTTTCTCCAGGAAAGTACCATTTTCGGTGACAGTGAGCATACCCAGCAGCTCTGCTGGTATCGCTGGGACCCTCTGACAGCTCACAAACAGCAACACTGTGTATGACGGACTCTGCAGTGAAACGCTGCCACCAACATTCATAGCGCCTCCATGACAGATCTCTTGGGTCTACAGCGCGGGTATTACCGTTGCTGTGTATCTCAAAAATGCCGGGCGGTTGCGAGCGTCCGGCACCGCGTTAGATATAACATCTGGGTAGGCTAGCACGAACATCATAGCCGACCGCGTTGCACTAACGCTTGTTACATTCAAACCAAGCATCGAAAGCTGCCTTTACATCTTGCTGATGCAAAACAGTAGATCAGCACACACCACATGTTGGCGAGCGAGATGTCTCCCAGTCACTTGCTGCGATAGACTCCCACAAGACAAAATGTCAAATCTCTCGCCTATTCCGTCCGTGCTCCTTGACCGGCCCGAGCAAACATCCGTACAAGAATGGAACCAGGCAATCCTCTCCATGATTAGGGACCTACATGACCTGACGCAGACTGGGACACACAGGAACTCATGGGGCCTGACCATTCTTCGCACGGTATACACGGCAGACTCCGATGTGAGCTTCCCGCTCGTTGTTAAGCGAATCGACGAATACCTGCGCCAGTGGATCACCAAGTCCACGACGCCGACCACCGCCAGCAGCACCATCTCTGACCTCGCTGCGCAGAGCGGCGAGGAGCTGCTCGCGCGTCTATCTCACACCATCCTGGAGGATCGCCAGGCTCTTGACGGCGCCACGCTGGAGGCAGACTACGCCGCGTTCCAGGACTGGGTTCAGCAAAACGGCGACTCCGAGTCACACAACTCAAGGTACCGCATCGCCCTCGTCATCGACCAACAGTCGCTAGACGACACCATGAAGCTGCCCGAAGCGGGTTCAGATGTGTACTACAAGGAGAAACTCGTCTCCTGCTGCAAGGGCTTGACGCGCTGGGGCATCGATCGCCGCCAGGACACTCCCTGGTTTTACGTGGCGCCCGCGCTTCTCGCTTCGCTCTGGTTCAGCGTGATGCACCAGGAGATGGCGCTCAAGCTCACGCAAATTAGCCAGGATCCTCCCGTTTTTGAGATGACCACGCCTTTACATAGGTCACCCATTTGGCCGGCTGGGGGAAAGTAATACTCATAATTGATGAAAAGCGATTATTTATGCACAACGAGAGTTTACCTCAGCCATTTAGTTATCCTGTTAAAACGCCTGCGCCTGTGACGGTCTTAACGATTTGCTTCACAGCTATAAATGCATTTGGTACGGACTGTCGCAAGACAAGAATTGGCACAGGTGGCCATCCTCGCGTGGACTTCGCACCAGCAGCGCCAGGGTAAGCTGTTGACAGTGGAGGGTGGGACCAAGTTAGCACGAGCCACAACACAGCCACAGATGGACGTCCAGCCGATGGGGAGGTGGCTGGTGATTGGCTGTCTCGTGGTCACGTGTCAAATATCTGTCATTCAGCCACAGTCTGGTCGTTGCTTCGTTGCTAGGGAACCTCGGATTTCGTCAGTGCCTGTAATCTGCAAAGCTGGGGGAAAAAAGTAAACGTTTACTTGTCGAATAAGTAAAGGACCATGGAAGCCTCTAATATCTTGCTATTTCTAAATCCATTTCCACAATATAAAACCATTAGAAACGCGTGTTGCGGCTATTGTCGCAGGTGCGTTTGGCACGCATACCTTGAGCAGGCTGGAGAGGCAGCCCCCCCTCAATGAAAGTGCTGGGCGCTAATAACAGAGACCAGCTGTCGTCAGCCCGCCCATTTTGCAGCGCCTCGCTGGATCTCCACCTTGAAGGGGGCCGTTGCGTCGTCACAGAACGCAAACCTGGACCGGACAACTTTCTCTCCCTCTCCCGAATTCATCGAAAGAACAAGACAACACCCGCATCACGACATATCGAGCGACTTCTTTTACCACGATAGCACGCATTTTCGATACCCTTTGATTCGACTTCCCTGATTTTTCTTCGACGCCGCCCACCATGCCTGAGCAGGAGCCCCCTTATGACCCTTATATCCCCAGCGGCCAGGCCGGCTCGCAGCAGGCCGGCGCTGCCGGCGGCAATGCCAGAACACAGGCTCTGCAGGCTGTAAGTAGCAGACTCTAGAGAGTGTCATACTCCATTCTATTCTACGAGCGACCGACCTTTTTTCCTCCTGTTTGGGCGACTTCCGGTGTTGGCGCGGACACGGTGCTTTGCGGTGGTGGCGCCAATGGCTAGACGAAACGGTGGCCAGCCAGTGCTGCGGCAACGGAAAGGGAACAGCATCGTCAAGATGCATCCCTATAAACACAAGCGCATTTTTTTGTGCTGCTCCTGCTCGCCGAGGCTGTTGCAAGGCCAACCCTACGAACATGACTAATTGCGTCACTCTCGTTCGCCTGGGCCTATGCTGAGCAGCAGGCCTCACCAGCGAACCTGTGCGCCAACAGTGCCGCCTCCAACGTCGGAGTACGCCCCGGGGACGAAAAAAGACGGGTCGGCGCCGTAGCAAAAGAATGGAAAGAGGCGTGGTGACGCAGGCGAATACTAACTACGTCGGTAGCAAATCGACGACACGGTCGGTGTCATGCGCGACAACATCAACAAGGTTTCGCAGCGTGGTGAGCGCTTGGATGCCCTGCAAGACAAGACGGACAACCTTGCCGCCTCGGCGCAGGGTTTCCGCCGCGGAGCCAACCGTGTACGCAAGCAGATGTGGTGGAAGGACATGAAGATGCGCATGTGTATCATCATCGGCATTATTGTCCTGTTGGCCATTATTATCATTCCCAGTATGTTGCTCCCCGTATCCGAAACGAAACACACTGCATATTCCGTTGCTTACATGTAAATAGTTGCTGTCAAAACGAGCCACTAAACGTCGGGTTTGGGGGCTCGATGAAATCGATCGGAAGGGGGATACTTTTTTTATTTTGGACGTTTTGAATTTGAGCGGCGCGCTGGCACTACGCAGTCTGGAAAAGAGACTGGCGGAAAGGACCCGGAGCATGCTGCCGAACGGGGTAACTTTTTTCTGTGTTTTCGAGCATTGTGGAATTAATTGACCATGAAACTTGAGAGTTGTTTGTTGGCGGCACGGCCCTGGCTCCCGATATCCGCAAAGGATGGAGAGAATGAGGCCCGGAGCTGTATGTATGACTGGAGACCAGGCGTTCCCGCATTAATCGAGATGTATGTTATTTTCAACAACGGCCCGATATTCGACTGCAATGTGAGCGACTACGGGACTACAAGAACTCTTTGACGCAGCCAAGTCGGACAATGTCGGCCACGGTAAGAGTCTAGAATGCATAAGTCTTCTCCACGTGGACTTTTTAAAACGCAAGTCTTTTTAGCGGAACTGCAGAAGAAGTGCCGGTCCAGGGATTAATGCAAGAAAGGCCGGTGAAGAGAAAATTTTAGTTTATCAATCAGTTAGTACAGTAGAAAGAGCTGAGGCCGGTCCCACCGTTGTGGGCATGAGCTGACGAGAAACGGGTGGGCAGGGGGCTCTTATCTGATCTTGTCCCCTTCCTCAGCTCCCCTGTTTGGTGGAGAAGCTTGTGGGAATCAAGGTAGGTTCTCCAGGCACGATGTGGGCGAGATAGAATTATGCAAGTTTTTTCTTCGGAGGATGGCAAGAGGGGATGGTCGGAAACCGAAGGCGTTGCGGGGTGATGTCGAGGAGGAGAGAGTTGTGAGGAAGAGGAAAAATGATGGGGAGGCGGAGAGGGAAGAGCAGGAAGGAGAAGGAAAAGAGAAAGAAGAGAACGGGGATGGAGGAGTTGACCCTAGAGAGAGGGGAAGGGAGAAAGGCAAGAGAGAGAGAGAGAGCACGGTTTGTGTAGTGTGGTGAGGCATATTCGGAAACGGGTTCAAGATGGTGAGCGCGTGGTGTCTATTTAATGATTGCGTCAATTTTGACGGGACGAGTGGCAGTGAGAGTAATAGGTAGGTAGATAGGTGGGCAAATGTTGGGCTGTTTCAATGTCAAGGCAACGTCGTATTGTATACATGAGCGTATATCGCACTATATCGTGAGGGTCCGGAGTAAGTGTACGTGGCAGAGCGCCAGGAAACCACACGGAATTCAAGTCAGGTGGATTTATTATGACTTGTAGCCTTGCATCAAAAGTTGCCTAGGTCCGGCAAGTAGATGGCTAGTGCTGAGGACGCGCGAGCCGGATCGATGGCGGAACGGCGACTTTATTTTTTGGTCTTTTACGCTGGTTATATGCTATACTATACACGTATATATGTTGGGCGGCGGCGCGGCATATTTTGTCCATATATCCTCAGTCAGCAGCAAAGGAGGGGCGGCGGGCGGATGCTGCTTGTTTGGGCCTCGGCGATCATTATGGATGGAGTAATGAGAATGGAATGACACATGACGATGAGGGTTTTTGCTCAGATGTTTTCTCAATGTTGCTAGGACGGAGTGCTACTGTAGTCTGTGGTTTGTGAGACCATCTCGGCTAGCAAGGCACAGATTCGAGTTGCAGTGGTGTGCCGACTGAACCTATTTTCCGTCAAGCCGTTGTAGAAGACGTGGAGGCTCTGTGCTTTGGGTTCTGTGCACTGTAACTGCGGCGAGATCGACCCGGGCAGAGTGTGACTGCGACCCCAGCAATTCCATCATGATTGGGCCGATGGCCGGCAGTGCTTCTTCAGGTACTCGCCTCACTCATTCATTGCAGGTACCTTTCGGAAGTACCTGGCAAGCCACGGGTACTTTGACTGTCCGCGGACAGGCCCCTGACTCACCGCCTGACAATCTGGCAGGCATAAGCGGCACCTCGTCCGAATTTGCAAATTTGTACCTTTTTTGAACCCATGCACCATTTCTCCAGTTGCAGCTAAATATTTGTTCGACTTACCACTTACATACACTGGCTGCGTGCATGGATGGATGGATGGGTGGATGGGATGGGTACCACTGTACCAAAATATGCAGGCCCTTTTGGCTGCGGTTTCGGGGCCGGTTCTGCTTCGCGCCCCACTACTGGGGACAGGCCGCCCACTGTCCACTGCCATTCCCACTTGTGACTCGAACTGCCTGCTCCCCCAACCTAAAAAATAAAATAATGTAGAAAAACACCCCCAGCTGCTCTCTCCCCGACACAACCCCCCCTCTGGTATTTTCTCTTTCTCTCTCTCTCAGGTTATCGAATTGACCTGCTGATTTGGATCGGGGCGGATCAAACGGCATTCGTAGCCTTGTGTTCTGCTCCCTAGCGCTTATCAGTCGTTTGTTCTGTGCTATCGCTTTACTACTCAGACCTCACCTACACTTCTCGAACCACCAGCACACCGTACTTCCCACACCGTGTTTGCTTACTTGGCGTACGAATTCGACCTCCCCCTCCGCTCCCTCCTCGTCCAATTTCGTATTGGGGGCTCGAAAAAAGTACACATCGAGGCAGAAATACCAAACAGACAAACACAATCGACAATGCTCTCCGCTACCTCTGTGGCTTTGCGCGCCGGTGCTCGGCGAGCCGGCCCTCGTGCCTCCGTCGCCGCCGCTTCCTCGACCACGATCCGATGCCCAAACCTCACGACCTACCGGGCCCTCTCCCACTCCCGCGCCGCCGCCGCGCCGCCCACCCGCGATCGCACTCGCGAGATCGTCGCCCAGACCGTCTCCAGCATCGGCTCTAAGCGCGAGGGCCAACAGTACCTAAAGCTCTTCACCTCGGTCTCCTCCCAAAAGTTCGCCGTCATCAAGGTCGGCGGCGCCATCCTCACCGACTACCTCGACGAGCTCTGCCGCTCCATGCTCTTCCTCTACGAGCTTGGCCTCTACCCCGTCATCGTCCACGGCGCCGGCCCCCAGCTCAACCGCCTGCTCGAGGAGGCCGGCGTCGAGCCCCAGTTTGAGGAGGGCATCCGCGTCACCGACGCCAAGACCCTCGGCGTCGCCCGCAAGCTGTTCCTTGAGGAGAACCTCAAGCTCATCGACCGCCTCGACGAACTCGGCGTCGCTACCCGATCCATCTCCGGCGTCTTCATGGCCGACTACCTCGACAAGGAAAAGTGGCAGTACGTCGGCAAGATCACAAAGATCAACAAGGAGGCTATCGAAAAGTCCATTGAGGCTGGCTACATTCCCGTCCTGACTTCCATGGCCGAGTCCGACGACGGCCGCCTGCTCAACGTCAACGCCGATGTCGCTGCTGCCGAGCTTGCCCGCGCGCTTGAGCCCCTCAAGGTCGTCTACCTGTCCGAGAAGGGTGGTCTCTTTGACGGTGAGGGCGACAAAATCTCCCACATTAACCTCGACGAAGAGTTCGATCACCTCATGGCTCAGCCGTGGTGCCGCTATGGCACCCGTCTCAAGATTAAGGAGATCAAGGACCTTCTCGACACCCTCCCCCGCACCTCTAGTGTCGCCATCATCCACCCTAGCGACTTGCAAAAGGAACTCTTTACCGACTCTGGCGCCGGAACCATGATTCGCCGCGGCGACAAGATTCAAAAGGTCAGCTCCGTCTCCGAATTTGAGGACATTGATAAGATCAAGGCCACTCTCATTCGGGATCGCGAGGGCCTAGACTCTGAAGCCACCGTCGACCGCTTTGTCGACTTTCTTAAGGAGAATCCTTTCAAGGCCTACTTTGATGACGCCCTGCAGTGCCTGGCCATTGTCGTCCCGGCTGGCGAGGGCCGCACCGTGCCCACCCTGGCCACCCTCAACATCACCAAGTCGGGCTGGTTGACCAACGTCGCCGAGAATGTCTTTGCCGCCGTCAAGAAGGACCACCCGCAGCTGGTCTGGACCGTTAGCGAAAATGATGAGAACCTGACCTGGTTCTTTGAAAAGGCCGATGGTAGCTTCAGCCACAACGGCAGCGTGCTCTTCTACTACGGTTGCGACCTCCGTTCCTCGGCCCTCTCCCCCGTCTACGACGAGTTTGTCTCCCACGGTCGCGCCATGCTCGGCGACACCAACCTCGAGTCCCGTCTCCGCCGTGCCGCCCAGACTGCCAGCGAAAACCTGAACCGCTCCCACGTTGCCCAGCAGGCGCGCGGCTTCTCCACCTCGCGCGTCATCGGCCCCAGGACGCCCAGCATGTCGACCATGCAGCAGCAGCGCCGCGGCTACACCACCAACACGAACCCTAACCCTCCTCTAGGCAAGAAGAACGCCACCAACTCTGTCCCCGCGCGTGTCGCTCTCATCGGCGCTCGCGGTTACACTGGCCAAGCGCTGATCGACCTCCTCAACGCCCACCCCAACATGGACCTGCGCCATGTCTCGTCCCGCGAACTGGCTGGCCAGGAGCTGCAGGGATACAACAAGCGCAAGATCATCTACGAGAATCTTTCTGCTGAGGACTGCGGCAAGCTGGAGAAGGAGGGCAAGATTGACTGCTGGGTCATGGCGCTCCCCAACGGCGTTTGCAAGCCCTTTGTAGATGCTATTGATGCTGCCAGCAACGGCAAGTCGGCCAGCGAGAAGAGTGTCATTGTTGATCTGTCAGCCGATTACCGCTTCGACAACAAGTGGACCTATGGCCTGCCAGAGCTGGTCCGCCGTTCCGAGATTTCGCAGGCGAAGCGCATCGCCAACCCGGGCTGCTACGCCACCGCCGGCCAGGTCGGCATCTCGCCCATCGTGGAGCACTTAGGCGGGCAGCCGACCCTCTTCGGCGTCTCTGGCTACTCGGGGGCGGGCACGAAGCCGAGCCCCAAGAACGACATCAACGAGCTCCGCGACAACCTGATGCCGTACAGCCTGACGGGCCACATCCACGAGCGTGAGATGAGCAGCCAGCTGAAGACGCAGGTGTCGTTCATCCCCCACGTCGCCTCGTGGTTCCGCGGCATCCACCACACGATCAACATCCCCCTCAACAAGACGATGACGTCGCGCGACATCCGGCAGATCTACCAGGACCGCTACGCGGGCGAGAAACTCATCAAGGTGGTCGGCGAGGCGCCGCTGGTGCGCAGCATCATGAACAAGCACGGCGTCGAGGTCGGCGGCTTCGCGGTGGACAGCACGGGGAAGCGGGTGGTTGTGTGCGCGAGCATCGATAACCTCCTCAAGGGCGCCGCCACCCAATGTTTGCGTAAGTCTTTCTTTCTCCTCTCCCCTGAAGCGTGTGCTGTGAAAAAGGAAGCTAATTTTGTTATCTTGTAGAAAACATGAACCTGGCACTAGGTTACGCGGAGTTTGAGGGCATCCCTACGATGTAGTTAGTAGGTTGTGGGTATATAAAGAATTATGTATAAAAATTTAAAAAAGAATTTCAGAAAGCTAGGATAAAAAACAGGAAAGAGAAGAAATGGTTAATGTCTGTGATACTCTCATGCGGGCTTTCCACAGGCGGGGGAGATCAGGAACAATGAAGCCTGATTGCCCGTAGTTGCCATCTTGAGTTCCCATCTCGCCCTGATAAATAGATGCCGAGCATGCCACGCACAAAGGTTGACCTCCCGTGGTAGGGTGGGCTGGGGATCTGCTGCAGCAGACAGGCGGACAAGCCTCGCCCGAGGATAAAGCGCGAAAGTGCCAGAACGATGGATTCTATTGTATTATCAAGTACCTTGTTCGCTGCCTTGTCAGCAGAGCGGAGATTGGTTGTGACTGCTGTTGGTGACATCTTTCTTGACTTTCTTGTCTTTCTTGTCTCTTTCTTGACTTTCT